AAAAAAAAATTTGAAAAAGTGGTATTTTTATAAAAATTTCAAAAATGTGACATTTTAAAAAAATGGCACTTGAAAGTGGTATTTTTTGAAATTTCTAAAAAAAACGAAAAAAGTATCACATTTACAAACGATCTTCAACTTACCCTTTTTTCGNATCCCAAAAAAAACAAAAAAAACTTGCCCTTCATCAAATGGTGGTGAAACTGTAGATGATAAAAGACACACTGCCTGATACTTAAGGCCCATATATCATGAATGTACAGCCCATTATAAGCCCAACACAAAGCATATAAAGTCATCGTCTTCTGAGTCTCTGGAAAACCCTAGTTTCGCTCTCGCTATCTCCCAACATCTGTGCCTTTTTGCTCGAGGAAGCTCTCCCACAGATACAATGGTACGCGTAAACTCTGCTTTTGATCTATACATCTCTTCTCATCATATTCTGGTTGTGTGTGAGGATCTTGTATCGGTGACTTCTTAACCATTTTCTTCTTCCTTGTGCTCTCAGATCATCTCGGAGGAAAACCGCAGAGAAATCTGCAAGTATCTTTTCAAAGGTTCGGGTTTCTTCATATTTCCACTCATCTCTCTGTTACTTTACTGCTTCAGCTTCTGCGTATGGATTAGATGTTGTGGCTAGTTAAATGATTCTTGGATTTGTTCCAACCTTTTCGCGTAGTGATGAACATTGTGATCTTAGAATTAGTTTATCTAGTTCAGGCTCTGAATCTGGTTATGGTAGATCTCTGAAAGTCGCACTCATGCTTCAGATACAGTCTCGTATAGATTTATTGAGGGATATTTGGTTGTGCCAATATGAGCAAATGATAAAGCTGAGTATGTCCTTTAGCTGACTAGAAGATGAGATTGTGTTGATAATCGAATATCTCTGGGTTTGCAGAAGGAGTTTGCTTTGCGAAGAAGGATTTCAATCTTGCTAAGCATCCTTTGATTGAATCAGTACCCAACCTACAAGTGATCAAGCTCATGCAGAGTTTCAAATCCAAGGAGTATGTGAAGGAGACATTCGCATGGATGCATTACTATTGGTTTCTGACCAACGAAGGAATTGAGTTCTTGAGAACTTATCTTAACCTTCCATCTGATGTTGTTCCTGCTACGTTGAAGAAGTCAGCTAAGCCCCCTGGTCGTCCATTTGGTGGCCCACCTGGTGATCGCAGGTGATTGATTAACTCTTTGCTTAACTAGCTCATTACATATCTGGCAAAAGCTTGTTCATTGCTTTGATGATATGGTTTGGGGTTTCTTGCTGTTTCAGAGGACCACCTCGCTTTGAAGGAGACCGTCCTAAGTATGGTGACCGTGATGGGTACCGTCGTGGTGGTGGTGAGTCTGGAGGTGATAAGGGTGGAGCACCAGCAGATTACAATCCATCTTTCCAAGTAAATTCTCACTTACCATCCCTTTTTATTTACTTCAAGAAATGTACTACTTTATATGTCTTTAGCATAGCATTCCTATACGTGCTATACCATTAACCTTTTGGTCTTTCATTCGAATATTGGTCTCTTGATCATTTTTAGTTACAACGACTAGAAATCTCTTACTATTCTAATGAACTGTTGTAGTTTCCTTAGTTTATATATAGCGTATGATGTGGTTTGCTCTCCCCTTGTCTGTTTCCATTGTATTAACATTTTTGGTGTTTTTGTATCTCGTTGTGCAGGTAAGTGGTGGTAGACCAGGCTTTGGCCGTGGTGCTGGTGGTTACAGTGCGGCTGCACCATCTGGTTCAGGTTTCCCTTGAAAAGGAAAGGGTTTTTAGTTGGAATTAAGACCATGGAGTTGCTTCAGATTTAAATTTTGCTTATGTAATTCGAATTCCAGAATCCTTCATAATGAGTTTTAGTTTTGTTGGTGGAGCAAACATGAAACGTCTGCATGCACTTATCATACAAGTTAAAGACTTTTGCTTTGGTTTCAGGAAGATTTGAACTTTTATTTTGGTTTGGTTGATCTGGTATGCAATCATGCCAAAGATTCAAGGCCCCAAGATAAGAAATTCTACATTGTTCTCCATGTTGA